CAATGAGAAGTGCTCAGGGTAGCTGTCTGCCAGGACATATTACCAAGTTTCAGGTCTGCTAATAAACGCCCGCAGGGGGATGCCTCTCGCTATAAGCCTCGACCTGAAGGGGTTCAGCTCTAGCTCCTCCGATAAGCAAACCCAGCTCCCTGATTTAAGTGGCCAGAGGCACCCCCACTCCGAAAGCCAGCCTTCCACACAGAAGCACCTATCTTCACTTGCTCTGTGGGCTGGGGTCCACCATTCTGCTCCGGGTTCTGCTGCTGTTCCTTTGAGGGCATGGCTGTCAGCTGGATCCACGAGGGACAGGGAACAGGAAGGCCCTTGACAACAGGGGTGGACACGTGGCTGCAACAATGGGCCCGAACATAAGAACGGTTGTGAGGACGGCGCAGGACCAGACAGTGTTTCCTTCTGTTGTGCACGCGGGGCCTTGTTATAAGTCGGAACGGACTAGATGCCCCTGTAAACAAGTGGCGTGTCGGGCTCCGTGCTGCCCTGCTCACCGTAAGGTGGACAGTAACCAGCCACTCTCCACCTCTGAGGGGAAAAGATGAGGCTCTCTGTTCCCGTATCGACTCCCAGGAGAGAGAGCAAAATAAAGAAGTCAGACACATGTCATGGTAGCATGCTCACCTCTTGCATGGCCAGGATCTCAACAGCCAGGTCCGCACACAGCATGGGCCAGAGGGCAGGGGAGAGAGCAGGAGAGCATGCTGGAGAGGAGAGAGCTCTTTATTGCTAACCAAGGCTTATACTACTTAAGGGGCGTGATTACAGGTAACCACACCCGTCACAGGAAGGGGCTGTACAATAGGCAATACAAGCAATAGGAGGGGGATATACAATGGGCATAGGCGGAACAGGAAGGGGAACAGCTAGGGGTGTACAAGATAGGAAGGGGAGGGACTAGAGGTATACATGTGACAAAGTGGGCGGACCCTAGACTCATGATGGGGACCTAACCTTGGTCACCCTTGAGTGGGCTTCACCCCCCTGGGCTCTCCTTCAGGAAAACAATTTACTACTATCCTTATCAGAAGGGAGTGGACCCTACTTATTGTGGGACAAACAGTGGTGTCTGCTTGCTCTGGATGGCTGATAACCCTTTGGGAGATTAACCCCTGACCTACTTCTGTTGCCCTCCATGGTCATTTGCCACATGTAGCAAGGAGCTAGGTTTGGCATATATTTGGGGGAGACAACTTGGGAGAAATCTTTCTGTTTCTCACAGGGTAGAACTGCCCCGTGAGTTTCCAAGGCTGTAAATCTTTATGGAAGGATGGATGCTGACTGGATGAATAATGGTCACTTATTTGTGGCTTACGGGGCCCCAGATGGCGCAGCGCTTAAGCATCTCAGCTGCTATCCAAGAGGCGGTCAGTCGGAGCCCACCGGAAGATGGGGCTGTTTGCTTCCATCATGATCACAGCTCTGCAGACCCTCTGGAGAAGGGCTCCTTTGTCTGACGGGGTCACCATGAGTTTTACGTTGCTGCCCAGAGACCCAAGGTCCAGGATTGCCTGTCCTTGTTTCAGCCAAGGCCAGAGACCAGGTGGATTCAAGAACCCCTTAAAAAAAAAGTTTTATTGGCAAATAATTCACATGTTGTACAATTCAATAGTGCCACCCCATCAAGAAGAGTTGTACAATCATCACTACATTTAGTTTCAGAACATTTTCTTCATTCATTCTTGTACTCCTTGTGATTTCCTCCCCATTTCATTCAGCCTCCCCTGCCCTGTCTCTATAGCATTCCATAGTCTGGATTTCATATACAGAAAAGCATTAACATAACAAAAAGACTAAGAATAACAACAAAGTAAAACCAATAAAAACCACAATAGGAAAGAAAGCAGAAAATATAAAAAATTAGAACAAAATTCAATGGATCATAAGGGAGATCAAATGATAGGGTGCTGAATTTTAACCTAACTGCACCAGTGTGTTAGTCTGGTTGACTAGAGAAACACATTCATGGACATGAATGTGTGTTTAAGAAAGAGCTTTATATACAAGAGCAATTGAATATTGAGAAAACATCCCAGCCCATTCTAGATCAAGTCCCTAAGTCCAGTATTAGCCTATATGTCTGATACCAATCTATACATTCCTCTTCAGACTCACGAAACACTTGCAATAACGCTGAATGCAGGATGATCACAGGCCAGTGGGTG